GCGATGTATTTGTAATAGAGTCTTTGATCCTAAAAGACGATTTCAGCTGATCTTAAATCTATTAGTTGTAAATATTTTTGCTGGAAACAATTTATTATGTCCCGCTCAGTTTTTAATTTATACAACTAACATTACATAGACTCTATAAAGTGGGGTGTGCGATAGACTTACCCCCACGTGGTGCACCCTGGGCAACGTATACTCATACGGCAAAAAGTCTATTGAACGGCAGTTGACTTCTGACTTTAAACTACCATGACCCCACTGTATGTCATATTCGACCACTTCCACAATACTCAACTTACCTTTTCTCTACCTTTGTACCTATCCGTCATTTTTTCATCCGTGATTCATTCTTCAGTTCCTCCTCTCGACTTTTCTCCATTTTGGTGTTCCTCTCCTCTGTGAAGCCCGAAGTCAACCACAGGACTAATGATACCTATCAAAACGCCTGCCATTTGGAACAAATATATAGACTCTATGAAGAATTAAATTGACCTGTGGATTTCATACATGTCTTCTAATAAGAAGACAAATGGATGTGGGATACCTGGTTGTCACATTGCCTGGTCAATGTTGGCAACGATGGGTTCATCCCTCGTAATTGTTCAACCTACTTTGAGAGTAGTTTATCATTGCTTAATAGTCGAATACTTACGAAATGTACTTGCTAATTAGCCGAATTCACCCCAATTTCCCCAAAATAGTTACCTAGGCTTACTTCTTCTCCTTCTTCTGTGTCTGGCTTATCTCACTCTATTTGATATGGTGTTGAAATAAAAATGTATCATTACTCATCAGTTGTTACAATTTCGTTTTAACTGTCCTTCCACACATCCATTTATAGTATTTAAGAATGAAAATCCATCAATGTAACAGAATGGTTCGGATGTTCTCGTTTTGAGTTAAAGTAAATAATATAACATCATGATTTCGTACTTAAACAGGAAGAATCTCCATAAAGATGACTAAGTAAAATGTCGTCATGCAATTTTCAGCGAGAAGAATATGTCATAAGCTTTTAAAATCAAGTTCAGCGATTTGTCAATTTGAGGTTTTCAACTTTTTGAATAATTACCTATATCTATTTATGATAAAGACTTCTCAAATACGTGCCATATTTTTACCAGACCAAGGACTAATAGATCTTGCATATAAATGAGCATTTGACATTCAGAATGTTTTTAGACTATAATGTTTAAATTGGGCAAATTTCCTTGATAACATATTGAAATCTTCGATTGTGAATCACGCGAAAATATTTTTATCAAGAATGGGTAAAATGAGAGTAATGTGATGCAAAATTCATGAAATATAGAAGTCGTTAAATGACAGCAAATGTATAAAAATAAGGACTAATTTAGATAGGAAGTCTATTAGCTCAATTCATCAAACTTTGAAAAAATCTAGCATTTTAAGAGTCCTCATATACAACTACGAGCTTCCGATTTAACCATAAAATTAGAGCTTCGATTTTACTTACCTCAGACATATTGCAAGACCCGTGACCTTACAAAAGTTCATAACGCTTTTTTTTCACGTCAGTTCAAGCGTTTACACTAACCTTAATGATGATGAAGCTTCTCGAAGCCGCTCCTTCAGCAAACCAGAGTAGACCTGAAGTGACCCCAGGTTTGAGCACAAAGTCGAGCGCGACCTCCTCTTTTCCAATTTCGGCGTCTGTCCGTGGCAACCTAATCCTATTCCGGAAATCGAATCTGACAAATCCATTTGTTCCCTCAAAATTAATAGCCGAGATATTGGCCCTTCGATCTGAATTGTAGACGTTCCGTTTAGATCTAGCATATCCAGACGGTGTTTTCTCCTGGCGAATAGTAGCTAACGTTAACATACGTCGTGGATGACTCTTTGGCCCAATGGATAAGCTATTTTCCTGAATATTATATGGGTTGTAAAGAGGTCCCGCTAGCATTTTTGAATCACCATAAGAACTCTCTCCTTCCGGATTACTAATCACCAAATCCATTTCTGCAGTATTAGGTTTCACTAGAACTTCCACGCTAGTCCAGTCAGAAATTCCTCCAGGAAGACGAGCTTCGGAGACCACATGGTTTAGCCAGGAGGCTCTGACAGTTTCAGTTTCAACTTTATATTCCACTCGTAAGTTTGGTTCCAGGGAAACTAATTCGACTGGAGCCCTTAATCCCGAGGATCGGTCAATATCTTTAACGTGGAGGAAGTCAAAGCTCAAGTGGACCACGCCTAAACATTGAAGACAAGAGAAAATTCACCTTTAAGATAAAATGCATAGTTTATGCCAAATTAGCATAGCATGACATATATACACACACACAAATAAATGTGTCATCATTGAGTATGCTCAAAGAAGCAATCTTGCAACGAATTAAGTACTGCAAAATTATTCTGGTTTGCATAACTATCCGTCTACGCTTTCCATTTCTTAAATAAAGAAACCTACCATTTGGGCATGCAGAAAAACTCCAGGGGCATTTTCTGGCCTCCTCGATCGTTGGTTTAGCTTGAATGCCGTTTGCTGAATACCAGCGAAATTCATCACCAGAAGGCAAAATCATCCCCGAGGTAATTGAGTCATCATTACTTGTATTCAAGGGCGGAAACCTGGAAATCAAATGTCCAAAAGTCGGATCAAGACGAACGAATAGAAAATCAGCTCCTTCTTTGATATCACTTTCTCGTCCAGTTCGACTGAAATCTACTTCAGTTTCATCATCAAGAAGATTAAGATACCCTGAAATAAAAATCGTTACATGTTTTAAGCTTTGATCTAACTGGTGCGCAAATACCTTTTGCTTTAAGTCTCAAAAGAGCACAGTAAAATTTTTTTTTAGTTCGCACATCTCTTAAGTTTAATTGAATCCTAAACGGAATAAATACAAACTTACTCGTAAGAAGAATGAAGAGGCTGCAAAAATTTAATTAGCCTTGGGCAAGATTTTGCGCTTTCATCACATATATCCCATTCTTTTATGCGTAGTAAATAACACCCCCAACTTATTGCCTTATTGAAACTTCAGCCACAACAATAATTAATTTATCGTCTTCTTTTTCGAAAAGGCAGTTTCGAGGTCAGAGAAGTAAATCAGAAAAGTACTCTTCGGCCAACAAAAGTACGAAAATCAATGCGAATTTTGAAAAGCGTATGATTAAATTTAAAAACGCAATAAATTTTCCAACACCCCGATCTTATGTGACATTGTGTAGCTAAATTCCCATTCCAAAAATAGGTAGTAGATCCAGGTTATCTTAATTACGCTCTCATCAAACTGTAAATTATTTTGTTGAAACTAACAAAAATACCAATTTTAATTAATTCAGATTAAAGCAAAATATAAATAAAATTAACTTTTATATCTTTATTAAAAACAATTAACATTGATAAATATCGAATTTAAAAATTCTTCTATTAGATCATTAGAATGAGCAAACTTGCTTACGTTCAGGATTGAAAATTTCCTTAACAACGTAGTCGGCATTAAGTGGCTGAATTAGACTTTTGAGTAAGACGAAGAAAATAAAAATTGATAAGAAATGGTTTCGAAGATCTCTACGTTCGTACATCGCGAACACAGGTGGTATTAAGATTGCCAAACAACTGATGAAGCACAATCAATGGTAAGATGACAAAATATATTGCCTAATGTGATAAAAATGCAGAAAATATATCCCACAGGCCCTGAAGACGTCGAATTCTTAAATGTGATGTTGCGTGCGGTTTTCTGGACCTTACTTACACTAGAAGCATCTTGCCATCACGATAGCCAATCAGGCCATGCGAAGAAGCACACACCAACTCTGATTGGCTGAAAGAATGAGAGCCATTGACAGCCGTTTAAGATGGCAAAAGATTCACTTTTGGTGAATCATAGCAACACGGGTTTCGTGAGAAAGTAGTCATTGGCTTCCGAAGTAATGATTCATCTAATTTCAATGAATTGCGCTTCTTTTTAAAATTTAAAAAAACTTCAACTGTTTATCAAAAATTTACCTGTCCACAACCTCAGTTCGAAAAAACATGATAAATGATTACGATAGCATGCATCCTTTGCTATAAAACAATGATTTAACTAGGCATCATGTTTTTTTCTAATTAATATAAGCTAATTTGAAAGCCTTCGTAAGCTCTAATGAGATGCTCTTCCAAGAGTGTTGCACATAAATTTTATTGTAACTGGCTAGTGAATGAATAAATCATTTTCTATCCTAAACTAGCTTTTGTTTTCTTTAAGGGTGAGAAAAATTTGAATAAAAAGAAAAGTTGTTTACATGATTTATGCTTAGAAAGAGGCAGATGATTGAGCAGTATGAAATCAAATTTAATGATTCAAGGTGACGCAAAGACCTCTGCAGTGAATCATTCAAGCTCACTTTGAAGTGCCTTTTTGATCTCTCCAAATATCAGCGAATCCATTATCCTCATTTTAGACAAACTCAAAATATACAAAATCTTGATTGCCAAATTCCTTTCGTTGACTCAAATTATCGATATACAATTACTGGCAATTATGCTCTCATTCAAATAGCATAATGAATAAAAAATAAAATTGGATGCCTGTTTCGAAACTCGAAATTCTCTATCATATCAGAATATATTTCAACAAAAAATATCTGTGACAATTAATTCAGATTGATTTTTTATGACCACCTCCTCCCCCCCCCTCCCCTCCTTCCTTGTACACATTTCGTTTTATATTTTAAGTATCTAAAATTATAGCACTTCGTTCTTCTTTTAGTTCAATTAAAATGAGAAAATAGAAATAGAATCAGGTAATAAAGTTTCATAAGTTTGCATCTATCGTAACTGAAATGCCAATAACGTTTGAAAACAAGATATTTACATTTGCAATTTACTTCTTTTAAATAATTTTCTGAAAGCATAAAGTAGAAGATGTTGTTAAGGCGATTTGGTGTCAGTTGTAGCCACGAACCCCTAGGTAACCCAAAGAGTAATAAAAAGCATGAGTTGCAACTAGCTGGTAGCTAATTAATTTAGAAATCGCTATTAAACCGTGGCATGAGGTCACGATAAGCAAGGTGCGCACCTAGGTGAGCAAGGGCCCGAGAGACAAGTTAACATGTCTGACGAACGGCGTCTGGTAGACAATGGATAGTATTTATGTGCAAAAATTCAGCGTTTTCTTTTAGCGCTTACTCGTCGCCAAGTCTTCGAGATTTAAGAGTAATTTCAAAATATTCTAAATTTAATGAGATAATATCGATTAATTTGCATTTATATGCATGCAATTATAGGTAATTAAAAAGTCAGTAATTAGCGAGCATTTCCTAGAAATTCTCAGATGCGCAAAAAAAATTTATTTTGTTTGAATAACGTAAGTATTAATGGAAATTGGCAGAGGTGGAAAATCGAAAGACTGATTACCCGAGATTTTAAAGTACAAGTTTAACTAACGATTTCCATCCACATATTTCCTTAAAATAGAGAAAGCTTTAGTATGTAGCGGATTGCTACGCTAGTAAAGCCTGACTGACTCAGAAATCTCT